GAAAAAAAAAAAAAAAAAAAAAAAAAAAAAAAAAAAAAAAAAAACCTTTATGCCAGTGGTTCTTTGCTTCAAGCCTACAAAATAAAACTGACAATATTTTAAGTATCTCTGATGGGAGATTAAAGTATTTACAGATAATTATATAAATATTATCGGTCAATTTGTAAATCTGAGGCACGAAAGAAAGATCTTTTTACAAAGCAACAATAGTGAAAACGCTGCTCTAAGGTGGAAGTTCATAAGGTTGTAGAAAACATTACGGTCATCTTTCATATTTATAAATTTGGAAGTAAAGTTGAGGAAAAAGCTGTAAAAAATATATTATTTAACAGAGAAACATAAAAATGGCCAGCCTTTCAACCTGTATATTTATCAAGAAAAAAAAAAAGAAGAAAAAAACTAAATGCCCCCAGAAGTTACAGAGCTCATCAGTCTGTTATTAACATTTGGTTTTAAAACAATGTTATGGAGGCATTTTTAAAAATATATTTATATGTTGATTTTTACAATTGTTAAAAAAAACTCTAGGGACTTTTATTTGGTAATTTACAACTTTCTGTCTGTCTGATGTATAAACATCACATAGCAGAGCCCTGTTTCTCTTTGCTTCTCTTCAAAACGGGTAAGAGTAGAGAACATACCACTCAAGTGGGTTAATTGAACCATGTGCTTTAGGCAGATTACACACAGACTCAGCTTTTTGAGACTAAACAATCCATTTGAATCTGTTGTGAAACAAATTATGAAAATATGTAAGGGAACTTTATGCACTGTTAAGTAGATGGAGGATCTGTAACACAGGCCTTTTTCTCCTCCGTAATTCGGGAACTTAGGAAATGTTGCCTGCTGATTTTATGTTAACTAAAGCCCGACAATTAGCTATGTCTTGATTCTGAAACACAATGTTAGAAAGTTTACATTCAATGACTAAATGTTTTTATTTCTCCCCCACATTATCTCATATATCAGAGTGGCTAAAATAGCCCAGTCGAAGTGCAGGGCAATATCTCTGGGGAAATCTACAGCGTCTAATAGCTGAGAGTTTGTTTTCCTCCAATAAAAACTTAGTGGTTTAACTCTATCTTGTTTGGCACATTATTGCAGACATATGAGCACACACAACCCTCTCACACGGCAACCATAGATCTCTTTTTATCACATCTTACCAGATTCAGAAAAAAACAACAACTGTAATCTTCTGAACACTGTTTTGCTTCACACAGTCAAACAGTGCCTTTCTCAAATGCTCTATTTCAGTTTTCCTCCACCATAGTAACTCTGAGTGGAAAAGATAAGCCTCACACTGTGAGGGCGACACACACACACACACACGCCATACAGCAAAAGAGGAAAACAGAGGATACAGAATATAGATACAATGAAGATGGAGATGGCACTGAATCTGTGGAGAGGCATCCTGCTGTCTTAAGCTGTGCGTCTGTATAATTAGTACACTTGAGCCGAGTTTGCTGAATGCAAATGTAACTGACATCATTTTTTTCTTTGAAGCTGACTTTGACGAGCTGTAAAGAAACACCCAAGTGACATTTTTCCCGTTGAGCGAGGGGGGCTTATGGGATCACATATCAGGGAATACGTAAAACTGCAAGTACATATCTGTACAGTTTTTAACTTCAAACGAAGCAAGCCCCAAAGATGCCGAGTTACTCATAAGATCGTCAGTTAACCAGGTAATTAAACAGAACCAAGTACAAGAGAACCATGCGTCCAAGATGAATCAAACTAATTATCATCTAAACACGTGAATGCGACCAGGCAGACCCAACTCATCTTCCTGTCAACCTGTCAAACAACTAATGACCTCCCGGATTTGACTCCAGCCAACACCCACTGCAACATAATTAGTGAACTTCAGCTTGACATTAAAAGCTGACTGAAGCACTTCAAAAGGTTAATTTATGAAATAATCATTCTCCTTCTCTGAACAGTTGTAATAAATCATCTAAATGAAGAACTCATGTGTCACTTTTTAGCTGAGGTGTCCAATTTTCTACAGAGATAGCAGAATTAAGGAATAATGGATGACAGTGTATGTATTTGTGACAGCTTGGGTTGCTGTGGGTGGTCTTACACTATTCTTAAAAGACAATGAACATCTTTATACTTTTCGGAAAACAATTCTGTGTCAAATCTTATATTTATTTGTTTAGCCTCTGCTGGAAGACGTAGATTTAAGCTCAAAATTATCGCTTGTATCAGGTTTTAAGGGCTAAAGTAGGAAGTAAAAATCTGTCTAATTTCTACAAAATGAAAAAAGGAATCAAAAGCATAGCAAAATGTCAATTTTTTTGGCCCCACGTTTGTAAAAAGTGAATTGGAAACAGACCAATCCACTTTCCCTCCGATCCTCCTCACTTACCGGTTATAGATGTCGTCGTCCTCTCCTCCCCAGCCCCAGTACTCGTTTGGAAAGCCGTTGATTTTTAGAAACTGCTTTTTACTGAGACCAGAAACTCCACCAAAGTAGCCAGCGTAGGGCAACCTGCAGAACGGGGAGGAAAGACATGGGAAGCAGAAAAGGTGAGCGGAAGTTCAGAGAAGTAGAAGATGAGTCCAGACAACATGAAGGAACATTTAAAATTTACATTTCTATCCTAAATAAGCAATTTTCTGAAAATGAATTCTGTAAACAAGCAAAAACATTCGTTTGGAGGATTGGTAGCACCATTTCTCTGCTGAATCAAAACAAAAGCTTATTCTGCTTTGAGGAGTGAGGAAGATGTCCTCAGAGAACTACGAATTTCAGTAGAAAATACAACTTCTGCCTTTTTTATGTTCAGCCTGTGGAAGATCTTATTGTAGCTCAGTTTATTTAAAACATCATAAGAATGTTTCATCTTTGACAATTTGACAAGAGACAGGTAACAAAATGGAGCTTTTTTTTTTTTTGAAAAAGTTGCACCAGAAAGCATTGTTGTCAATTTATATTTATGGACATTTGTAACACATGATGATTATTTCGATTCTTTCCTACTTGCTTTTCATCTCAGCTGCTGTTCATGCTGTTGTCGGGCAAATGTGACTTAGTCACAACTTATCGAAATGCACTGTAGCACTCCATGCATCGGCTAAAATATTCATTTGCTCAAATAAAACCTAAATCAGTATGAAAGTAAAAGAGTCAAAATATTTGACGTGCTTGAAGACACAATGCTTTAGGCATTTTATCTTCTGCTTCTCAAAGAACCCAGCCATCCATTAACTTATCTTTTATTCATAGTTAGTGTTGCAGAGGCTGCTGGTGCCTGGTTCCAGCTGTTAATGGAACTACAGGTCAATTTACTCCTTTTTCAATCCATACCTCTAATTTGTACCCATAGCCATTTAGCGCATTTCTACATCAACTTAATACCCATAAAACACAACAACAAAAACTGACAGATATGTTCCTGAACTAGTACAACACACATTATCTCTCTTGGTGGAAACATATTTCCTTGAGCTGTAATGATACATAACTCAGATCTCACATTTAATTTAATGCCAGTTTAACTCTGTATTCTCTTGTACTATTATTTTAGTTCTGATTACAGTTTGAGTCAGTCGAAACTATTTAAGTATGACAGATTGCAATGCTTGATCACCAAACCTCAATGAAATAATAATCAACCTCCTGCTGGTATATATTGTATTTTTATGGCAGTCATTTTCCATACAGTAGGCTATGAACAGGTTTTAATCTTACATTTTTAATGGTTAAAGAGGTCCCCAGGGAGGTATGAATTGACGCATGGTCAGTTCAAAATGTCCCGAGGAAGATATCTGTCATACCGTGTCAGATAAAATAAAATGATCAGTACAAAATGACCAGCTATTCACACTCAGACTCACAACTATGGGAGATTTAGGATGTGCCATTAACCTAACAGCAGCAGGAGAAAAATCTTACACAGACAAGAAAAGAACATCCAAACTCTGCAGAGTGCAGCCTTGCTTTGGATTTAAACCCAGGACCTCCACTACAGTGATTAGACTTTCAGGAAACCCGTGTAGCCGACATTCCCTTTATCTACTAAATCACTGCAGCATCTTGGAAGGGCAGGTGCTTATCTCATGGGCGAGAAGTGAGTTTTCCAGTCTGTCACAGGACAGCACAGAGATGTGGGCAACCACAAACCCACACCGAAGGTCATTCTAGAGGCCAAAGAAACTCTAAAAATCAGACCATCGTATAATAGGGATTAGAATGATTATTGTGATGGATTGGCGACCTGCTCAGAATGTATTTCACCTTGTGCCCAATACTCGCTAGAGATAGGAAGCAGCGCCCCCACGATGCTTCCAGGACAGGCAGGTATAGAGAATGGATGGACAGATCAAATAGCAAGATCAGCGTGGTTAACATTATTAACTGCAAGCATCAATCCCTGTTTGAATACTGAAGTTCCCTTAGGGCAAACGAATCCCTTCAGCGGTTCACCCAAATGTCCCTGAGGTGTGTATGGACTGATATCCTGTGGGAGACGGTTCCTTTTTGTTATGTTAAACACTGGGTAGAAAAGGACAAAACTGGCAAAAGTACAACATTGCGAAGGAGCGAACTGACCACCACCTGCCAAAACCCTGCTCTCTGATGTAGCAAACTGAATTAACAGCAGGCTCCCCTCAACAGAAAAGACAAGTACTTCACTGATCCTGAAAATAGCCGCCTTCAAACAGTATCAACAATCACTATGAGGAGTGATGAGGTTAGCATGGCCCAGTTTATTAAGGCGCAAAAAGGTTGGGTTTTTGAGTTTTCAGCCAACCTATCACCAGTCGTGACTGGTCAAGTCGGAAAACAGTCCCATTCATACCAAAGGATGATTTAGTTTTTTTGTCAATGCATCTCTTCTGAAGCTGTGAATGGCCAAATGTGCAAAACTTCAGTTTCAAAGAACTATTTGAAAACAAAGTGTACATGTGTTTTCCAAGGGTCAGGCATTCGAGCTTTGCTTCCAGATATTTATTTAGTCAGCTGGATGGACTTTCCCTACACTCAATCTACACACCAGATTTATGTGTTATTGACTGAGAAAATGTAGCTTGATTGATATGTTGCTATTACAATATTTATTTATAGTGTGATTTTTTGTTTCTCTTGTATCCTACAGCCAAGATCTCCACCTAAAATGCCTGGTTTGGGGCAGCTGGTGAAAGTCTAAGTATTGAAACAAATCCCAGTGGCGGAAGAACGTGAAACTCCACCCAGAGCAGCTCTGGCCGGGATTTGATGCAATGACTCAGTTTCTGCGAGATAATATCTCCAGCAGCTGGTCCATTGCACCACTACTTTAAAGAACCCTTTTCAGGAAAACTCCACATCAAAGTGATGGAACTGTGAGTTTTCTTTTTATGTGCAGATTTACCTAACACAATTTACATTTAAATAAGGCATTTATGTCTGTCTGGCAATATGATCTTTTCTGTTTCTTGTCATTTTCAGGCTTTAAGTGGATAATTTATGGGTGACTTTTAACTGTAATAGGATAATCCATATCCCTTTAATCCAATCGTGATATGAATTGACTCAATGTAAAAAACAAAAATAAAAGAATAAAAATCTCTGAAGAGGCTTCCGAAGCAGTTTCTCAGCAGTTGTTTATAAAACAAGCTGCCTTGTTAGAGTGAATGCCAGGAAGCTTCTAATGATGAGTTCTCACATGTATGAATAGTGAATTAATGAGATGAATTAATTTTCAAACTGATGAATAAACAGGCATATGTACCGAGTATGGAGCGTGTGTGTATGCGTGTGTGCTTGAAAACACAGCCGACTAAGAAAGGAAGACAAGCGTTTTTACTTCTTGTCAAAAGTCACGAGGCTAGTGGAGTGGGACGGACGTCAGTGGGGGGTGTCATGACAGGCGCCTGGAGTCTAACCAGAGGGCTTTACGTGTGTGTGTGTGTGTGTGTACACCTACATGTGTGTACACCTTATGTTGTCAAACGTGCGACAGCTTCTTGCTGAGAGATGACAAGCAGAAACTAATGAGAGCGTATGTCTCAGCACAAGTTCTCCGAGCAGCAATATGATCAGGAGGAGTGTGTGAGCAGGTGTGTTCAACAGAACACATGTTGAGGGGAACAAGAGGAAAGAGAGAGAGAAAATATAAAAATGAAAAAAAAAAAATATATATATATATACATAATGCAAGCTCTAAGTGTAAGGATTTGTTAAAACCTTTTTCATATTAATTGCTTATTTATAAGAAAAGTGTGATCAAAAATCTCCCCATTGGATCAGGCGTCTTTGATAAATAAGCCAGAAGTTGAGCCCAGAAATGTTCTTCAGATACTTTCAGCCTTGACTCTGCGTGTTTTGGTCCAGGACCTGGGGACCAGTTTAAAAGCATTAAAAGACCTTTAAAAGAAGCCTAGTGAATTTCAGAAGTAAATCAGGCTGAACAGTGGGAATAAAAAAAAAAAAAACTTTTTTTGAAAGGCCAGTGGAGCATACACAGTTTGTTCTGAAAGTAAACATCACACCATCTGTTTGAAGGCTTCAAGTGGGGAAAAAAGGATAGTTTTTACAACAGGATGAAGATGATAAATGCATGTTCAAAACCACAGTTGGCACAGGCCACAGATTTTTAACCCAAAACATCAATAAAGTAGTAGTAGTAGTTTTGACCTCGATGATGTCAAAACTACTTAAAAAGACTCGACTTTTATGCACAAAAAATGTTTAAAGTTTTGATGTTTAAAAACACGTTTCCTGTCAAGATGATAGAAATAGACTGAATAATCTTATCAGTTAATGCATTTAAGTCTTAATTATTCTCTGCAAAATTAAAGAAGGAAACCATAATGCCATTGATCCAAAAGTCATAAAGATCACCAGAAGGATTCTCTTTTACTAAACAGAATTCCCGTCTAGCAGAAATCTGCCACGTCTTCCTGCTTTGACCACATGTCAGACAAAGTGGTGGTCAGTCACACCTCCAGGTCTCTTGATTGTCTACATCACACAAATAATAAAGTCCTATTGATTTCGTCTCTTCCAGTGTGCTGGAAGTAATGGTTTGAGATGAATTTGACAGTGCAGCTGCATTTTAAAGGTCATATTAAAACATTATAAATGGCAGAGGCATTAAAGTACCCGGAGGCTTCAGCAATTTTTAAATTAGCCTCTTAGCTTTGAAAGATTTGGTCCCAAAGTAACATTAAAGTTGGAACAGATCAGGCTCCTTTTAAACTACAACTGTTAACATTTAATCTCATGTATAGGCACTTGCAGTGAGGGCAGAAATATTTGGACATCGATCACACGTTTTGGTCTTTTTCACTTATGTTGAAAGAGACACATTTTGACAGTACATGAATTAGATATTTGTCTTATTTAAACAGTGGAAGCTCTATGTACAAACAAGTCAGATTATGACTTTTTCAGAATATGAATGAAACATGAATGTCCTAGAAATGTGTTTTCCTGCACACACATTTGGCTACCGTATAGGCCAGACTGCACAGAGCCTGCAGCACACTGGGCTGTGTTTTGACACTAGCCTCAATGTTTTACTGCTTCACTCAAGATGCAATTCATAACACACCTTGGAACATTTTTGAAAGGTTGTTATTAGAATAGCAACCTTAAATTCCCCCTGTCTAAACCACAAGGAGTGCAGTATGTAGAAAGTAAGTGGACAACATTAATATTAACACAAAAATTAACAGGTTTTAATTAAGTCCTTCATACAAAATAAAGAGCTTGATTAATTCCCAAATTACAATTAACTTATTAATATACTTTTAGAAAGTTTTTTTAAAAAGTCCTGCATATTTCAGTTCATGCTAACAGTTGTGTTCACCTGGCACTAACATGAATGATCCAATTCTGTCTACTGTCTGAAATGCCGGGTGAGAGCAAGGGCCAAGAACCAATGTATTTTTAATTGCAAGCTTAGAGACAGCAGTGAGAGTGCTGCGGCATCTCTATAGACAGACATGTATCAAGAATTGCGGCTGAAATTTGGGTTTTGTGTTTATTTGTTGCATGGAGAGCAAATATGTTTTTGCTTTTTTTCCCCCCAGCAACAAACATCTAAAGATCTCAGTTCAAAAGAGCAGGTGGGTATTCCACAAAAAAAAAAAAGAGTTTGGTGTCATTGTTTAATTAATATCTGATCATACAATGACTATGGCAATGATTTCACATAGAATCTTTAAATTGAATTTGTATTCAAAGGTTCTACTTTATTTATTTTTATTTTTTTAATGAAAAATGACTCACATTCCTTAAAAACTATTGATTGGATAAAAAACTAAGCATCAAAGAGTGTTTTAAATCAAAGTTTTTCTACTGTAGTTTTTATGGCAAGTGCTGATATTGACCAGCTTGTGTTGTAATATTGTTTAGATGTGCTCTGCAACACACTCATGCAACATTTACCCAGAAAGCTTTTAAACATGTTCATACTAATGTTAATTAAAAAAAGTTTCTATAAGATGTAATACTTTAGGAATCCTTCAAAAGAAGTGATTTGCATGTTGCAGTTTGTTTAAACAGATCTTGTTTCTTTTATGAAAACATATGAAAAAGTTCTTACATGAGCTCACATTCACCGCTGTTAACAATTTTCATAGCATTCACTAAATTTGTTAAGATTTTGAAAAAAAAAAAAAAAAAAAAACAAGTCTAACATTTTACAGCTTGAAAACAAACTGAAGATCAGAGCAGGAAATTTATCCTACAACTGTTCATTTTTCAGCTGATAATCACCGGCATCCATTTTGAGTCCTTCCAAAATGGATGCCGGCTCAACTCTTACGGCCATTAGTTACCAAGGAGCCAAGAGCTTGAATAAAACTATTTTGAGTGCTTACTGATTAATTACTAACAGGAAATGTCAGCTACAGTTCTGCTCACCACCTGGCATTGTTTTTATTGCCAGATAGCATTAGCTTGTTGAGCTCTACAGTACATCGAAAGCACTGCAGGCCTGGAGGATTTTTTTTTTTAGCTGGACAGCTCTGGAGCACTGAAAGCTGCTATGTGGTGAGGTCGCATTTGTTGACCATGTTTGGACTATTCATCAATACTCTTGGTGCGTTTAGATAATTGAGGTTAGGTGTGGTGTCATTATGCCAGCAGATAAAACAAGACTTCATCATTGAGGGCTTGGGAACCTCTGTGGTTTCTGTGAACTTAAAGGTCTTAAATATTTGCATATTTTTTTCTCATTTAGAAGACCTCCTGGAAGACGTTGCTAGCAAAAAAAGATGGTCTAGTTGTAGTTAAAGCTTAATTATGAACAACGTGAAAGACTCAACTGCATTTAATCCTATGTGTTATGTGATAATTAATGCATCAGTTTCTTTAGGACTTGCACTTAAAAGGATTAATGACAGATATCAGAATGCCCCTGGATCTGAACCTGAAAACACAAAACAGAAAACTCAGCTAGAATTATTGCGGGAATAAAAACAAGTATATCAGTAGGAGTCTATCTTTGGCTATGAATAACTATGAAAAGTTGATTAAAGCAATTATGAATAAAACTATTAATTTAGATCAGAATTACAGGTGGTAGAAGTTAGTGTATCACCTGATTATTAGGAAAATATTAGCCACATATTTCAGTTTCAATTGTTGTTTATAAATACTCATGTTTTAAAAAGAAATAAAGATTTTTGTTGGTGACGTCAATCAGCTCTAAATTAATTATGAATTAGTTTAGAGAAATTTATAAACTTGGCATGTTTTCCAAATAACCATTTCAAAATGCAAAAGTCAAAATTTTGAGGAAGTAAAGGTTCATCAGTTCTTGACTGAATTGGAAATCAGTAACCCTTTTGGATAATTTATTCACAATCTGTTTAGCAATTTGGATAAGTTAATGATTGAACATAAACAACAAACGATTTTAGTGGCAAACTGTTGCTACGTTAGCTCATGTTATGCAGTTTTGTTTTGAATGTTTCCTGTAAACACTGTTATCATATATGTGTGCCTGTCTGGATTTGCCAAAAGCAGAACACACTTTGCAATGATCAGCTTACCTGAAGCCAAACTTGTCCATTGCGATGGCAAAGTGCCTGGGCTGGTCATAGCAGTGATACAGGTTCCGGTCGTCCATAGGGATCAGATCCACGTCACTGAAGATGAAACAGTCATACTCGGCGTCCTTTAGAGCCTCCGTGTAGCCAACGTTCAGCAACTTTGCCCGATTGAATGTGTCTTCACCCAGCTGAAAAGGCAAACAAAAGTTTGTGTTTAAACATAAAAAAAAAAAAGGTTCTGGGAACTTCAAGCACAATGGAGATATGAACTATTTCTTTATCCTTTACTGATGTATCCCAACAGCAGCATACATTCCTAACAGCTACCCGAGTCACCCAAACAAGATCAGTGCGAGATTAAACAATGGAAATAATGGGTGGATGTGCTTAAGGTTATTTGTACGGTACTGGAGTCCCTCAATTGAGAATTATCATATGTGATATTTGTGATAGAAAAAAAATCCAATACCACATATTTTATTTTCATATGGTTTTCAGCAAACTTTAAAACGCAAGACACAGCTGGATCTAAGACTTGTTATTTTGTTTTAAAGAATCTGAATTATATTTCAATGGTAGGTAAATCCTAATGTAACCTATTTATTATGAAGCTATGTCCCATGGTTCAACAGGATCAAACCTTGGAAAAATATACTGAAACACTAGACCAAATACAAACCCTAGATAGACTCCACAAAGCAGCATGTCTCCTCCGTTTATATAATAAGTAGCATTCCCTGAACCCCTGGAAGTTTAGATTAATTTTATTTTTTACTTGGCACAGGAGTCACTTAAGGATATCTTTTTCAAAAAGGAAAATATTCTTTGGAATTAGTTTGTTTACCAAAAATATTTACATTCAGCTGATGTTAGAGCAAATAGCATACATAAAAAAAAAAGATTATATTTTTGTTATGCAAAAGGAAACATCTGTATAAGTTATTTTTGAAAAGAGATAGTATCTTATTCATTTTGGGGCAGATGAGGAGCTAGCCATAGTGTTGGACTCTGGCCTTCCTTACATATCCGGCTCTGTCATGAATGGAGAGGGAAAATTATGAGTTTTGAAAGGTCAGGCCTCCCATTTGATAAAGGAAAAAAAACAAAAAACAAACAAACAAACAAAAAAAAAGAACAAGAACTAACTTGAGTTATTTTGGTATTGGAGTAATACATTATTTTCCATTTCACTCAAGGGATGCTTGGTTGTGTCCAGAATGTGGGACCCAGCAAGCCTGCAGTGGATCTCACGCTCTTCTCATTTTAGTACGCCTGGCCACATTTTACCAAGAAATGTTATCTTCATCACTTTCTCAGCAAGTATCCTGTTTGGATTTCCTTACCTTTGCTTTAATGCTAATTTCCCTCACCTCCAAGCATACAGATGGAAGTTAATGCAACACATCATCAATAAACAACAGTATTTAGTGTCTGCTGTGCTGGTCTGTACAGTATTTATTGCTACATGCAGTATGAATTGATGTGTTCATCGACTCTAAGAGAACCGCCTGCTGCAGTGGAGTGTATCTGTATTTTTCAGTGCATCCCGGGTTCAAGACTTTGGTGAAGATAAATGAATTCTGGTCTGACAACAGAGAAGTATCGGGACAGTCAAGGTTAATATATCGCGCAGTTATAAATTGGATAATGGAAAATGTTTTGTATGTCTCTCTTAGTGAAGCCTTACACTAAGGTTGGTGAAGTCTAGCTCTTTGTCAAGCAGAGGGAAGGTCAAGCAAAGAATGAAGTCATAGTGCAAGCCGTCTATTGTGCTCAAACATGCTTTGAATTTTTTGCTACTTTCCTAGGCAACTACATAGGAAAAGACAGAGAAAGTTATCACTGTAACTCTTCCTTCAGTAGTTGTGTTCGGAGACTTAGAAAAAGGAAGATTTCAATAGAGGCAATGGTTTAGATGTTCATATATATATAAAAAAATAGAAAAAAAAAGAATAAAAAAAAGTCCTCCCTTCCCCCCAATGAAAACAGCAGGCCCAACGACAATCCAAAATGGGTCAACAACTTAATCTGCATTTTACACAAAAAGAAGCAGAAGGAACACAATGATTTAATTTTAGTGTCAACAAGATACTCTCACCCTGACCAGCTGCAAAATCAAGATATAGACATAAAAAACATAAACTGCAGTCGGTTTGACTTTTACTCAAGTAACATCGTGTCATGGTGAGAATCTACTTCAGGGTTTTTTATTTGGGTTTTAAGGCAGAGCAACACAATTTCAGTCTCTAGAGCTGCAAAGGCTACAGACAAAAAACCCCAATACGTTTCAGCTCAAACAGTGGCGAAATGAGCAATAACAGAGTGTCATAAATTTTTACTGCAGTAACATATTCTTCAACCATTAAGGGAGACTGAAACAAGACACTTTAAAATGACTGATGCACGTCCTCAACCCTGTTAAAATAGTTTTCTTTTGCTTTGGGAAGATGCAGTTGACTCCATACATATATTACCAGTTCAGAATGAGTGTGAATCAAGTACAATGGGTAATCCTCTTGTAAGCCTTCTAATACCTGAGATTTTACAGCATAATCCCCCTCCACAGGTAACAAAAAATCTATTGTCACAAATCCACTGGGGCTCCAATTATCAGATAAATTGATCTTCTGTCTGTATTTCAGAAACAGTCTGTGAAGTTGCAAAGAAAGACAAAAGTTAACCGAGGAGTTAAATTAGTCTAAAGAAACCACTGAAAAAAACAATATTTTTCACAACATTGAGACACAGCTTAACTTGAGTTATATTTATACAAGATTCCAAGAAAGTGCAACAGTAAAAGCATTCTGGCATTGGGAGAGACGACATAGCAGCTGTCAATGAGACTTGTTCCATTTTCAGTTGATGATGGAAATGCTCTTAGTGTAGACAAAATGAAAAACAAAAACAAAAAAAAAACTGCATTTTTTATTTTTACCTCTATCTGTACTGTAATGTGTTTGATCATTCAGGTTATTTATTCCTAAAATCTAAAAAAAAATCTACTTGCGTCATTGTAATTTGGAGATGATGTGCGGCTATTTATGAGACCAGTGGCTGAAACAGAAATGAAAGGTATTATTTTTTCACCTATGAATTTGGTAAGTGGATGCCCTTCTCCACAGTGAATAGAGGTGGAGTTTTATATATATATATAAATATATATATATATATATATGTAGAGAGCGAGAGAGAGAGAGCTGCAGGTATTAAATTAGCTGCCGGTTATTATTATGTTATAAAATAATCGATTATTATTATTACAAGTATTGTTAGTAATTAATACCCATGTGCCAGAACAAGCATCCAAGTTGTTTTTTTTTGTTTTTTTTTCTCTTAAGTCCTCTGAAATAAAAAGTAAGTCTTTCCTGTTCATTACAGCTGTGCTCACTCTCTTACCGGTGCAGGCCCCAGCCCCCCCCCCCGCCCCATTTTCAGACAATTCAGCAATTCGTCAAATTAAAATATCATACAACACTTAATTTGTTTCAGTAATTCTGTGAAAATCAAGTTATTCATAATTATTACACACAGAGTGATAGGTTTCAAATTAAAGCTTTTGCTAATTTTGCTAACTAAGGCTGAAAGCTACTGTTTGAGAAATTAGAATAACAAATAAAAAAAACATGAAATAAAACTGGATTACAGAAATGTAAGGCTATGGAAAAGTTGATTTTGAACACTGAAGCAGGAATCGAGTCCTTTTTTTGTGAAATGGTTTTGGACTTGTCTCCAGTTCAGGAAGAGCTTAACACAGGGAATGCGACAGTTCTAGTCACATTCCCTACATATGTCTTTATGAAGGGAGTCTTGGAGATCCGACTCTGTAGCTGCAGTGAGCAGCTTATGAAACTATCCCAACGTTTAAATGTAACTTTACCATTTAAACGTTCAGTGCCGATACTTGTTGGTTGCGGCCCTTTTTTCTACCACTCTATCCTTACACTCATCTTACCATTTATACATAGAACAGTCTATTAGCCTTTTTGTGGAAGGTATCAATGACCATTGTTTGCAAAAGTCAGCAGTATTCCCCATGATCAAGTTGGCCATGAAACATCTATGTTACAAATTCTCGTTCAACTGATCTCATGTAATATTTAACATTCCTGAAAAAAAATCTATTTTTTGCGATACCTTCACTCTCTGTGCAGGGAATTTATAAGTTAGACTTTTTGAATTAAATTGCCAGTATTATTTTTTTGTTATTGTATTAACATCTGTATTATTTAAATTTCAAAAGTCTTTTTTCTACTTCTTTTTTTTTTTTTTTTTTTTTTTTTTTATTAAAAAGCCAACAATCACCTTGATCTTAAATACCCTTGTCCAGAAATAAACTGTCAGGACATTTGTCACGCCAAACTTAATTTATTCGCACAAGGTGTTGGAGTATGACAGGTGTCGAGACGGAATAAAGAAAAACCAAACCTTTGTTGAGCCTGAAGGCAACAGTGTACCTGTTAATAATCCTAAACTTTGTCTGTGTTGTTCAAAAGAAATGTATTTGGCATTAATTCAGTCTGAAAGATGTTCAGAGCCACAGACTGGTCATCTGTATGAGTGCAGGATCACAGATCCTCTGTTTAATTTTCTCTTATTTGTTGCTCTAATAATTAAGAAAAAGAGATGCACCCTTGTAGTAGGCGTGGGCTAGAGTGAGATTCATATGGTCACAGAAACCAAAATAATAACAAAACACAAATGAGAAAATAGAAAGGTTATGCAATATTCAGTTATAATTTTTTTCCCCAGATATTTTAAGACTGTAAGACTGCCTAGAATCCATGGTTGCTAGGTATAAAATTATGTAAAAGCAGGCTGTGTAAACAGTTCAGTGTTCATCCGTGTATGTTTTTATTTTTATTTTTTTGAGGACGTGTGCATCTCCCAGCATTCTTTTCACTTTTTATTCCTTCTCCTTCAGGCTATTGCGCTTTGACCAAGACTCGCGCCCATTTTGTTGCCGTTCATAGTGCAGAGGAAAGGATTGCTCCACCACAATTTGCTTGCAGTGGCCCACAAGGGGATAGTGAAACTGTTCATGTGCGAATACTTGACAAATCAACAAATTACTGGGTGAAATGCAGAAAGGGCACTTCAATTTAGCAGCGAGAGAGATTTGTGGCTCCTCACTTGCAATTTCACAGCCATCCTTTAACTTTTCAAGGACATTTCTACTCCCTTAATTTTTGATCAGACCCTACATAATTCAGTGTGCATATGCATGTGGGTGGCAACCCCAACCCTGAGTAAATTAGTTTACTGACAACTG